CCATTAAGAAATTGGTTTTTTCCATCTGTAGGCCCAACCTTGATGCTGTGGCCAAAGCTTGGGCACCAGGCACACAAAGAAATCAGTATTGACGTGAGGAAGGCATTTTTTATGCATCAGCCCAGTGTACAGAAGGAAGCGACATGGATTTAGCGTCTGACTTGGAGTGACTGAGGATGTTTCGTTTATTGTCTCTGAGCCTGAGGTTTACAGCTCTGCAGAGGAGACTCTTACAATTGTCCTCTCTTCTCTCAGTGTTATTCTGGGGATCAGATGACATGAGACATGGGCCAGCTCTCTGTAAGCCCCAGGGGTTAGGGGAGTCTGGTGGGTATACAGAGAGTCTGGTGGAGAGCAGAAGGCTTCTGACGAGACTGTTGGAAGCTATCAAGTGTGTTTCAATTTCCCTGTGTTGGGAGTACTGTTGCCAAAATGATAATCTGAATCAGATCGTGAGGAAATAATCAGACAAATTCAGAGTGCAGGACATTGTACAGAACAACTGGTTGGCCTAGACTCTTCAAAAATATTAATGTCGTGAAAGACCAAGTGGATGGAGCATTCAGAGACACCCAACAGCTGTTGTGGTCTGGTGGGTGGTGGGGGCAGCCAGAACAATGTCATTGGGACAGCTGAGCAAGTTTGCATGTGGATTAAGTACAAAATAATATTGTGTAGAGGTTAGATTCCTTGGGTAGGATAATGGTGTTGTTATAAAGGACAGTGGTCTTTGTTATAATATTTAAATATTTAGGAAAGAGTAACATGATTGGATCATGGATGTCTGTATGTTCCTGTCAAAGGGTTCTGCAAAAATAAAAATAGGAATACGTATGTATATCCATATACGTATTGTGGGTGTGTCTATAAAATGTTTAAAACTGGTAAGTCTTGAGGAGGGATGTGCAAGTGTTTATTGTATTATTTTTTTAATAGATTTGAATTTTTTTAATATAAAGATAGAGAAGGGAATGTACTTAAATAAAACTGGTTTGCAACTACGCGAAGAAAAAAGTAATCCATTATGTTTCTAGTCATTATATTCTGATGGGATAAAAACAGGCTGTGGGATTCTCTGAAATGGAAAATGAAGAAGGGGAATATTTAAATGCAAAGTAGAGATTAAAGGGGATTCGTATGGTACCCAGTACAACATATTAAATGATCTATAAACATTTATAAGTCACACACTCACTCACTCTTTCTTTCTTTGCGCATATTTTGAGCCTCTCTCATAAGCCAGAGGTTTGACTTGAACTCAGGTTTCATCTGGCACCCATGTTACAGCTCTACACCCTCCCTACCACCCTGCTTTCTGCCCGTTCTTTCCCAGTGTACAGCTCTGTAGATTCTGGAGAGAGAATAATTCCTTTGTAAAACCATCAGCAAGATAAATTCTATGGAATTTTTATAATTACAGAAAAATTGAGCAAAGATTTCTTATTGTGAAAGATCTGCTCTTTGCCTTGATGAGCAGAAAATAATGCCCATGTCCGTGCTCTTCTCCAGCTATGTATTCAGTGGTTCCCGAAGCTGCTCCTTCCTCATCTGAGGTAAATACAACACAGCACCATAGAAATTAGGGCAAGACTGCTGTGTAAGGCAATAAATGCAGAACGAATGTTGAATTGTTGGATGGAACTGGAAAATGGAACGAGTGTGCCAGCTATAAAAACAACACCGAAATATAAAAAGAGCTATGTTTCCTGACTCTGCCACAAGTAGATGTTGGCTGATTTTTTTCCAGGGCAAGGAGTTCTATTTCCAAAAACAGCCTGATGCAGCTGTTTTTGACTTTGTGGTGTAGAAAGAAAGTTAGGCAGCAGTTTGCAACTTGGTCTTAGGTTGAAAACATTGTTTTCTTCTCTTTGATAATAAAACATCTCTCCGCAGAGAGAATTTTGGTCTTCTAGGGCTCTGGGGACCCTTCTCAGATTTGCAAGGTTTTGTTTTGTTACCTCCGTCTTTCTCCCTGAAAAGCAATTGAGAAAGGTTTTTTAGTTCTTTAATCCAGTTCTGGATTAGGAATGAGGGGCGGGAGTACAGAGTTTAAACCATGATTTCCTGTTTTTTGTGTATATTTTAAGAACTACTAGCATCTCGGTTTCTCAACATGTAAATAAGAGGAAGGCAAGTATAAGTATGTTGTCCCTTAGTTTAAAGGGAAACATGATGATAAATTCAATGCATATGGGCATGTTTGAGCTCTCTGGAAGAACCATCGGAAGTATCATAAAACCATTATTAAGAAGAGACGGGGGTTGAAATTAATTGTAGGAAAGCTCATAGGAAAGAAGACTCAATTAATAATTCAGAATGACAAGTCCTAATTAAAGCAAGCTGAGAACAACACACCTCATCTCCTTAGGCCATCGTGTCTCTTTATATGTCCCCCACTCCCATACTGAATGGTTGCATTTGACCTCTCTCCTTGGGATCATTTCACTAAGAAAGCAGAAGCTATTTCTATAAAACCACAATGTGCTGGTAGATTTTAAGTGGATCAGTTTGCATGTTAAGTGTCTCAACTTCTTCCTCAAATAACAACCAAGTTCAGAGCTGGAAGGAAGTTTTAAGATCACCAAATTCTCTTTTATCCCACATGTGAAAAGTTGAGGCCAGAGAGGAAGTTAATTGCTAGCTCAGTGTTCTTGCTGGGGAGTTTGCACCAGACCTGGCTTAGCCTGGTGCTTTTTGTGCATCACCAGCTCCCAATTCCGCCCCGTCACCACATTTGCCTCTCCTCATCCCCATTTCCATCCAGAACTGACAGCAAGTCGGTTATTTTCTAGGTCGTTATGTTGAATTATAAGGGACTGCTGTATACTATATGTAAATTTGACAGCCAAGCTATCAAAGAAAACATGAACTTCTTGAGTCTATATCTGGTTAAAAACTTAACAATTTGAGAATATTAATGTCACAGTATGGAGGTACGTATCTGTATCTACTTACTAGAACATTATACACACATATACATAGATATATATCTTCTTAATGTATAATACATTTTATTATATATGTGTGTGTGTGAGGGGGTGTATCACTCCCTTCTCTGTATCCCCTTACTTCCCATAGTGATGTCATTTATTGCTTCCTTCTTTCTCTGTGACTGAACACTGCTTGTTTTGTTTTGACCTCCCTTCTGTTACTGACATGGATCTGAGCCTTGGATGTAGCACGGAGTGACCTAGCGTAGACCAGAGGAAATCTCCTCCCCTTTGACTTCACTACCTACAGCCCTACTTGACCTCATGCCCGAGCTCATCAGTTGTAAGAAGCAGTTTGCTGCCCCACGACTGGTGGTGGGCTCATGCAATACCCTGTACATTTCCAACTCTTGGCATCAGTAGCATCATCGGACCAGCAGAGGGCGCAGTGGTCAGAAGCGAGGACCCAGGATCCCCATGTCAAGGCTGTATCTTGTATTCTCTAAAAATCTGAGACAAGTAAAATAAAAATTGTTATATGAACACCTTTTAAAATACATATAGAAGCTGCCAGATTAAAAAATAATTAGTTCATTTTTAATTACAGGTAACACAAGTGCATTCTCATTGTAGAAAATCCATACAATACAGTTAAAGTGAAAGTTCCCCCATTTCTACCTCTCTCCCTAGAGGTAATGGTTACCAGTCTCTCCTTCCAGACTTTTAAAAGTATGCTGAAAGCTTATAATACACCCATAAATACAAACTTTTCTTGTAAATGGTATACTGTATTAAATTACAACTTTTTCCCCCACTTAATACATTTTAGACATCTGTATATGTATTATGTGTACACATATACATTACTTCATTAAAAAAAATTACTGCCTAGAATTTCATTGAATGCATGTTCTATGGTTTATTTCCTACTTCTTCTATTGAGCGTTCTGGTTGGTTTCATTTTCCACTGTTACAAACAGTGGAATCCTTTTGATTATGTGTATTTTTCTAGAATAGATGCTTAGCTGTGAAGATACTTATTTTTTTAGTTTTTACGATGACATTAAAAAGAATCAGAGTAGACAGTTGATGCCTCATGATTCAAGATTTCGCGGCCTATCATAACCGGGTGCCGTGGTCTGGCTGTCAGCAGCTGTACGAGGGTGAGCGCGGGGTGTGTGCACCCACAGCTATGTCCTCTTCCCTCAGAGCTGCAGTCAGCTCTGTAGTTCGTTTGACTCAAAGTCAGAACCACCAGGGTACCGACAATCCAGCATCTGCTGAGAAGGCAAGTTTTATTTGTTATCAAATGGGGTGGTGTGACCACTGCAGAAAATGAAGAAAAGGTTGAAGCTGGGAGGCCTGATGGCTCCTGATTGGCAGATCTTTCCAGGGCCATCCAGTGGAGGAAGCAGTTTGTGGTGGAGTGGTTTTGGTTTCTTGTGTCTGATGGACCCTGTGTTTTTTGCAGTTGGCCACCCAATCCCCGTTCATCAGAGTCTGCGCCCAACCCCGGAGCAGATCGAGGAGTTGCATCAGACCTACATGGAAGAGCTGAGGAAATTATTTGATGAACACAAAGGGAAGTATGGTATCGCAGAGCATGAAACTCTCATTTTTAGGTAACTGTATTCGTAGAACATCCTGTTGAGAGAATAAATATTTTAAATAAGGATATTTTTTTCTTTGATGATGGAATCAAATTTGTGACTGACAAGTTTATTTATGGTGGCAGATGTTAATGTATATCTGTGGTAAATAAAAATCCACAGCGGGTGACTGTAGGATAAGGTTGGAGATAATTATAAAAGGTATTTAGTATTCCTCCTTTAGGAAGGTGAAATCATTTTACAGGCTAAGAAAAGGCTTAGCATTATTTATCTGCTCAAAAAAAAAAATGACAGCTTCCAAAAATGGTTAGACCCTTTTAGTAAATACCAGAATAATTTAAGGTGGTGTTTCCGCTAAGTATGACAGCTGTTGTTTAGCGCATCTGGAACATTTAGGCAACAGTGTATAAAATAATTTGCCATATAGAGCTAGAAGAAATAATTTATATTTATTTCTGCCTGAACAGACCATTTATTAGTGAATAATGTTGCTTTTAAAATAGATAATTTGATCCTTCGGGTCATGTCAGCTGACACATTTTTTTATACAGTAATGCAGGATTTTTATGCAGTTTTCGAAATAGGATGAATCTGCCATATGGAAACCCATGTGAATAAGAGTGTGCCTCATTTCTATTCATGCTTTAAAATATTCGTCCTTGTCATTTGCTTAGAAATGTGTTCATTTGCTATAGACAAGGAGGTCTTTTAGAGATGTGTTTTTCCATGTTTTAGGACATGGAAATTCCAAAAGGTTTTCATGGCCATAGAAATGGTTTTAATTTTCTTCCCAAATGGCTCTTCAAGTAAGACGAACTATGAAAGAAAGCACCCTTCCCAGCGAGATGTGTCCAGGTCACAGTTGAGTGGACTTGTCTGAGTCTCCTGTGAACCAGAGTGTCAGGTCTTTGAGAGGACTTGTCTCTCCTGTTCACTGATGTCTCCCTGGGTCAGCTCATGACACTTAGTAGGTACAAAACCAGTACGTGTTTAAACAATGTATTTATAGATGCATGTACAAACAAACTTTGCCGTAAGTTGGAGATTTTTTTAAGCTACCCCATAGGATGACACTTATTAATAAGAGGAGATACACTTTGAGAAGGAAATTATTTGTTATGCCTGATGTCCTGTGACATAATGGACAAAACTGCAGGTTCCTTTGTATGGAGCAAGTCAGAAGGACATCTCTGATCATTAGTCCCTGAGCATTAAGGGATTATTCAGTAAGTAAGTATGTAAGAAGAGTGTCTCGTGTCCACATGATCTTCATCACTAGAGGCTGTGTGTGTACTCCTCCACTCCAGGTATTTGGGGGCAACCTCACTGTGACGCTCTACCTTAAGCGTAGTCTGTCTTCACGCCTCTGATTTTTTTGCAACATCAAGCTCTTGGATTGGCTTCAGCAATAGCCAAACAAAATCATGCTGGGGGATGCCTTGATAGGAAAGCATTTCACACATGAAAAAGTGAGCCTTAGTTTTTCTGTCTAAGTTTTTTTGCCCAGCATCCCTTTGGTGTCACACTGATCGAGCAATCTGGGAGTCCATTGACCCATACCTTGCAATCAGATCAACTACCTCACTGATGCAGATTACCAAAGTTTGTGATGATTATGGACACAGGTTTTGGGTGTATTCCCTCTGTCTTCTTTTCCTCTGATAAGACAACATCGATAGGATTCATTGATTGGATGTTTTTTTTCCCCTAGCCCAAGATCGCTAGTTCCCATTTTTGTATTTCTTAAACTAAGCGATTTTTGTCAAAGCAGGGAATAGACACAACCTAGTATAAGAGATGCAGAAAATTCAACTATAAATTCTTTTTGGCATTTCTCAGTACCGAAAGAGTACAAAAGGAGCACCATTTATGTAAAATTACACCCCAGCTGGTCGGGGGTCAACCTTTCAGAATAAAGCTCTGAAGCCCAAAACCACAAGTATACACTTGTAAGTTATTGTAAAACCCATGAATTCCATTCCTTTGGAGACGTTTATTAAAAGCTCATGACACATAGTCTTTGGTGATTTCGCAGAGGTATGGATTTTAACCTCCTACTCGGTGAGCTAGGGGGCCAAGCTGACCATCTAAGACCAGCCATATTGCCTAGTTAACAGCTAAAGCCCACGTGTAGAAAAACAGAGACACTGAAAGAATGAGAACAGTCCTGCTCTAGTGAATTTATCCAGAACTTTGCCATTTAAAAAGTCTAGATGTCAACAACTTTAATTTTGGCATGCATAAAGTCTTATTTTTAGGTACATATTGGGGAGTTTATCTCTCCCTTTCTTAGGGTCTCCAGAGGTCCTAATCCAGCCACACGAGAAGTTCTTTCATAAACTCAAAGCATAGTTTTAAGTCCCATGAAGTCCCACAGATTGCAAAGGAATTTTTTGATAAGAATTTTTGCTACCATACAAATATGGGCCATATATTGTATTCACTGGTCTGGTTTGATGTCGATCTCATCTATCTTAAAGATTCTCATCTACTGCCCAATTATTCATCAGATTTAAACAGCAAAGCAAAATGGTACCAACAGAAAACCCCAGAAAACAGTATGAGAAACTTGGCTAGTTGCCTTGAGAAAATGGGCTTCTAGGCTATGTGATTTTGACATTTCTTCCTCCTGTTTTCCTTGTTCTCTGGGCGCAAGTGGAGTCACCTTGTTTGTTCTGCAGCTAGAAGTAGGAAATTGTCTATGCCTAGCTAAGTCTGTTATGCTCACATTGAAGCTTAAGGCTTGGGTACCTATGAAGACCAGCCAGGTTTGCTCTGTCCCCACTGGAACCAGGGGAAGGGGATGCTGCATGATTTATGCAAACCCTTCACCAGACTACGAAAACAGTGTCAGCACTTCAGGGATGTTGGCGAGCCCTGGGCTAAAAGTAAAATCCCTCCTCTTCAGTAGAAGGTACATTTCTGTCCTAGGAGGTGTAGTGTAGATGCAATGTCCAAACAGCTGTAACTTTGCATCTCTTCCCAAACTACCTCACTGATGCAGATTACCAAAGTTTGTGATGATTATGGAAACAGGTTTTGGGTGTGTTCCCTCTGTCTTCTTTTCCTCTGATAAGACAACATCAATAGAATTTATTGATTGGATGTTTTTTTTCCCCTAGCCCAAGATTGCTAGTTCCCATTTTTGTATTTCTTAAACTAAGCAATAAAATGTCTATTTGTAGTTAGTTCAAGTAGAATTTATATGTATTTGTAAAGAAGAAAAACAAGGCAACTTCCAGATAACCACTCCGGTTTCTCCAGGATGGCAAACACAGAAGCGGCTCTTTTATATTTAAAACAAAAGGATTTCTGTAATACCTACATTCTAGTTATTGTACCTAACCCTTCCTAAACACCTTCAGCTTAGTGCCTTAGTGTTTTATATGGAAGGAGGATGTTTGCATCAACCCATAGCCGGCCCCCAGGATGTTCCTCCATAGGAGAATCTGTGAATTGTGTGTGTTTGGATCCTGGCCCCAGCAGAGCAGGCCTCTAGCAGTCTCCCCATGAAGGCTTGTGATGCTCACCTGGGGGACTGCCGGGTGTCCTCGAGGCCAAGGTGTAGACCTAGAAGGGACTTCATAGTCTGCCATTTATGACTTCTGGCAGATAAAGCGATTGAACCTCAGTCAAGTTTAACGTGGACTAGAACTGATCCCGTGTTTGTATCACTTTGCCCTAAGGATCCTCCCTGAAAACCAAAGTGTCAAAACAGAAGAGTAGAATTAAAAATGCACTTAGAGCAAGGGATTTAACAATTCTGAAGCAAGCTCTGTCTTAGTGGGACTGAGAACGTTTTCCTTTTCTGAGAGCAGCCCCCGCATTGTTGTTTTTTCCCTCTGGCTATTGCTATTTCGGTGATGTGTCCTGGGCAACGTCCAAGTTTTCACACACGTAGCCACTGGAGCCTTGAGTGTCGGCGCAGCGGAGTGAGACCAGGCGCGCTCCGCGGGGGCGAGTGGCAGGCCCTGCGAGGAGCAGCCCTCTCGGCCACGTGGTCATTAATCAGGGCAAAGCCTCCCCTTACTCGGGCAGAGGCACAAAACTTCTGTCACCCCCCTGACCGCCCCAAACCCAGAGTCCGTTCCGGCCCCAGCCTCATCCAGCTGGTCGTCACAGCTGCTTTTTTAAAAATAGCTCTTATATTCTGGTGAAGAACTATCTTCAGCTCTCTTGAGAGTAAAGATAAATCTGCCGTCCTTGCGTCCCCAGGGGCTGCATGATTCTCCCCTCTCCATTTCCAGAGCAACTCAGTCTTAGGTGTTTGGGGTTGAATTCCAGACCGTTCGGTGGGCAAAGAACGTAACTGAGCCACTCTGTACTCTCCAGGCTTCTGTTTCAAATAACCCATTAGCCTCTGGCCCTCTGCTAACTGGCTGGGTTACCTGGGCTCAGTTCCTGCCTGTGTAAACAGGAGTGAATGACCTTCAGCGTCCCTTCCAGCTCTTCCTCTGTGTCTCTGCCTGGCCTTTTTCCTGTTGTGATAATCACACCTTGTTGGAGATGTTAGATTTATCTGCTGACTTTTCCTTTTCCTCTGCCATCCCACCTTGTGTTCCTCCAAGACATGCACTGAGTTCAAAGGACTGTCTCACTTTTTTAGTGTATCTGTATATATAAAACATAAACTGCCACTGAGATTTCTCCAGCATCACAATGACCCTTAGTCATGGTGTTTCTAAGAAATAATTTAATTCTCTAAATAAAAACAGGCATTTGTCTAAGAGGCTTCTTCCTTCATATCATCCAAAACTATGGAATAACAGTTTATTACTTGTTACAGTCTTTGTAGGAGATGGTGAATTGTTATATTTTCTATATTGTATGTGTTGCTGTGTGCTTTTTAAAAAGCCCTCGGTTTGTAAAATTTCGACCAATAAATGCGTTCTATGCTCAAGTTATAAATGTGTGGGTGTTGTGTTTCACCTGGATGGAATGGTTTTCCTTCCCACATGGTGACAAGGCTGAATTCACTTGAACTTGGGGCTGCCTATAAGGAAGGGAATCGCAGCGGAATTGTGAGCAGTACCAAAGCATACTGCAAGGTCAGGCCTTTAAATGCTCTTGATGGGAAAAAGACAGAATGGGAAGCAGGGCCAGAGCTAACTGAAAAGCACAGGGGGGCAGGATGAGACAAGAGCCGAGGACAGGAAGAGGAAACGAGTCAGGAACCTGCCCTGGCCTCCTGTGGTCAGAATAAGAGTGAAAACCTCTAAGATTCAGAAATGTTCAAAAACTGGTAGAAAAATGTAGCAATCCCAGGTCAAGTGAATAACTGCTAATGGGCATGGGGTATCTTTTTGGGGGATGAAAATGTTCTAAAATTAGGTTGTGGTGATGGTTGTACAACTCTGTAAATATACTAAGCCCCCTAACCCCTACACTTCGGGTGGGTGAACTTTATTTGTGAATCATATCTCAATAAAGCTGTTTCAGTCAGTCGGGTCAGTTACACACTTGCCAAAATAATGGAAGAAGCTAAAAACTAAATTCCTTTTTTTAATGTATCAAAAGTGAACTTGCCTCCCTTTGATGCCAGCAGTTAGGATGACAAAGCTTAAGCCTTGATTTTTTAGACCTATGGGAGTTTCTGGTGTTCATTATCAAAAATATGTGTTTTCAATACTCAAGTATTTCATTAGATGACAGACTTGCTTTTTTATTGTGTAAAATACTGTTTGGTTTTAATTTACCCCCAGTACTTTATAATACTATATAACTATTATCATGTAAAACAACAGCCAGTATTTATTGACCCCCATAATGTGCCAGATACAGGGCTCAGTACTCCATGTATTGGTGGGAGCCATGCTACTCTAGCTGTGTAGCAAAGCTCAGGCTGGAGGGAGACCCCCACAAAGAAGGGGCCTTCACAGCTGGCTCCCCCTATTACCCACGTTGATTTTGTTATTCTCCATTATACTATTGGCTTTGCTTTTGCTTGCATTTTTGCCAAAGACTAAGCTAACCTTTGATAAGCAGCACGGAAAGGAGGAGAACATAAACTTCCCAGAAGCTTTTCAGGACAGTGCTTCTGAAGGATGGAACATGCAGGGGCCAGACGGCGACCTTGGCATAAAAAACCGAAAGCTGCAGGTAGCTAGTCAGACATTGACTACCCCATCTCCACCTAAGTGGGAATGCCCCCCTTTTTTGTAATGCTAGTGAAATTAGTGATGAAGAGTTTTATAGGAAAATTAGAGAAATAGAGTTATGGGGGAATACTGAATAGAATAACCCTGTCTGACACTTAATCTTCTCATGTTTTCTTCCATCTGCTACTTCTATAGCTTTTCTTCTTCCTTCCTAATTACAGCCCTTTACTAGAACCTGTGCCTCATATTTGGAATTACCAAGTATCATAATTCTTCCAAGTAGTAAAGATAACTCCAGCAAGTTCTGGGCCTGGAAGCCACGGGGCATAAATCTACAAAGAAGTGAAAAACTAACCTTTTCGTAGAATATTACTTTTTTCTCACTTACCAGCTTTATATCTCCCTGTATGGCCCTGGAAGATGGCTGGTTAGCCAGAAACGGGTAAGATTCCTCACAGGAGGAATATATCGATTCCAGGTCAAGTGAATAACTGCTAATGGGCATGGGGTATCTTTTTGGGGGATGAAAATGTTCTAAAATTAGGTTGTGGTGATGGTTGTACGACTCTGTACAGTTGCAGGGGGGCCATCAGGTGAGAAAATGGGGGCCAAAAGAGGTGAGGCTTAGAACCTCACCTCCCCCCCCAGTTTTGAACAAAATCTTCTACACCTGTGGATGTTTTGTTGCCCTTGTCTAACTTGGATTAATACCTAGTCTATAGGCACAGACCTGATCATCTACACTTGCCTTCTTACAGGACTAAATCATGCTTTCTATCTTTATCTTGCATCTACCTATGGTGGAATAAATAGTATGAGGGGATAAAATGTACCCATTGCATTAAAAATATAGATGACGATACCTGCCTAGCTAACTGCGGCAGTAGGTGACCTGTATTTCATTCACCCTGAGCTGACAGATTCCATAGTCACTGCTACATATACTCCACACTCCTGTGGTCACATGCACTACTTAGAAACTGCGTTGCATAGAAACATAAAACACAATAGAGTACATGTTGCTAGGAAAACATTAGGTCAAGAAACAAAAAAGATCACCTGTCTAACACTTGACTACCCATGTATAGATTAGAAGGAAATAGAAAGAAAAAAACTTGCCTATACCTATTAATCAACAGAACAATAAAAAATAATCATATTCTTGTGCAAAATGGTATAAATAAAGCTGTCATCTGCACTTTGTCAAGAGACCACCTCCATCTGACTCTGTGTCCTGTCTCTCCATGCACCAATTCCATCTCATCCTTTCGGGCAACACATGCCCCGTGGGAGCTGGACTCCGGCAATGTATGCCATGACATTTAGTTCTTGAAATAGCCCTATGAGATCAGTACCATTTTTGTCCCATAGGAAACTGGAATTTAGAGGGGCTAAGAACTTTGCCCAAGGCAACCCCAGTGGGTGATGGAGTTTGGACATGATGCCAGGTCCTCTGGCCTGAGAAAATGCTTTGGGTGTGGGGCTCCGGAGCCTTCCTTCTCTGTCACTAACATGCTGTGGCTCTAGGTAAGTGCCCTTGTGTTATGTTATCAAGTGACAGGGTGGGACACGATCCCTAAGGTTCTTCGTGGGTCCACCTGCCTGTGATTCTGTTCTAATGTCATGTACCTTTCTGAACACCCCCCAATGCACATAAACCAGTGGGTACAGGAGCCTTCTGTACTTAGAACTACCCTAGGGCCCATTGTGAGATGGCAAAATATTGTGTCCACTGCGAGAAGGACAGGGTAAGAAAGTTTCATAAGTGGACTAATATTTCTTGGCCAAGTCAAACATTTAACATGTCAAACTAAGAACACCTGTGTAGCTAAAAAGTCTCTATTTTTTTTATAGCAATAACTACATGGAACATTAGCTGGAGAAATATCCTTTGTCCAAACTGTATTTTTAAATTGATTTTATTCCTCACATGTATATACGTGTGTGTTTCCAAGAACATAAAAAAGATTTTCTCCATAAGACGACTGCATGTTCCATACTTGAGAAGAAATTTCTCCTTCTTGCCTTCTCCAGTTCACAAGCATCTTTTAGAAAGCTAGACGGAAATGAAATTTGATCTTTAGGTGAACCTGGCCTTGACACTTGATGTGTATGCTGAAATAAAGGAGTGCTGTAATCCATGTCAGACTGGTTGACTCTGTAAGAGCAGGGCCATATAAATTGTCATTTCAAGTTCACTTAACTTTAACATTGAATCCATAAATAAAGAATGTTAAGTCATATTAAGTAACTTTGTGGGATTTGCAGAAGGGCTTATATTTTATATATAGACATTGACATATAGCTATGTATTTGTTATTGTTATCGAAATAATACCCAAGTAAAGGAAATATTAAGTCACTGGGAATGAGAGCAAATGGGGCTCATTTGGGAAACTAGCTATACTTTGAAAAGTGAATTTGATCTGTATTTTGAATAATAAGTAGTTGATTGAACTTAGTGCCACTATTATTACAAGTAAACACAGGAGATACGACACAAGTGATACTCTGCATGTTTCTATAGGAAACAACACACTTTGTTGTTTCAAATCAGGACAAGCATATCTGCACCTTAAAAGGTGAAGCTGATTTGCAAGCAACCCAGGGATTCATTTTCTGTCAGATAAGGTCAAAGACAGTAGAAGGGGGAAACGGAAGCAGGAGACTGAGGAGAAAGGAAGAGGAAGGCATCTTACTACTACACAGGTCGTGTTAGAAGACCTTCCACATTCCGCCCCACGGTGCGTCCTTGTCCCTGAGAACCTTCACTTCAGTAAAATGCCAGGAACACATCTGGCCCTGCTGAGGGAAAGTTTACCTGAGAAATGGTTCTCTCCGGGAGGAAGGTGTATCCCCTCGTTGGCCCTTTCCTGGTACTGTGAGTAATTCCAGCAATTAAAGTTCAGACTTTCTTAGCGCTAAGCAGGCCACTGTGATAAGGATCTTTGCCATTTGTCTGATTACTGTTATGAATCCACGCTCTCTTTCCTAGACAGCTAGACAGTTGAAAATCTTAGCTGAAGTTTATGGGAGACCCTGAAAGCCCATTTTTTCCTGAATACTATGCCACGTTGACATGATATTCCAGCAGCTAGTCCAAAGATCAAGTAGTCAAACAAAAACAGAATAGTACAACTGTCTTTGTTCAAATCTGCATAGACCATGGGACCTTTAGAATTATATATTTCCACTATTACTGCTGAGAATTCCATGAAACAAACCACCGAGATGATTTGGCTATAATTGCTGAGGTCAGATGTTTAGATGACAGAGCTTATGCAAAGGAGTATGCCCCAATGGTCATTTGTGGCCAGAGAAAACGCTTTTCATAAGGAGCTGTTGATACTGAACTTCTGAATGGTTCTGAAGCTGTTACCACATCCTTTTGGCCTGATGTTATTGTAAAGGTTGTTTCCTTTTCCACGTCTTGACAGGTTTAGAAACTGCCCCAGGGCCATAATTTCAAAGGAGAATATTCTCTTCCATCCATCCTGTGATCTCTTTGCTCTGGGCTCTTGTTTTTGTGAGACAGGGATATGCAGTGACCAGTTAGATCATCTATCTGGGGTGTGTAATGTGTTTTCTGCTAATTCACTGGGTTCCATTAGGGATGTTCTCTGCCAGAATTATCTGGCACGAATCCACTGAAGAATTACTTCCAGCTTTGTCTGTGGTTACTAAGTTCAACTAGAATTTCCTGCGTCTCCCGGTGATTCAAGGATTCTTGCAGAGGGGCTGAGGGCCAGATTGCCAGGTGTACTTCTGACAGTAAGCACGAGTCTGAATCCTGCATGAGGAAGATGC